CTTTTGGACTGATGAACTGTAACACCCGCTGAGTGCCATTAAACAGCTTGGAAGATCAAAGACCATTTTTAATATAACTCCGACTGGATTCATCTGAAAGAAGAAAGTCATATACACCTAGGATGCCTTGAGGGTGAGTAATTCATGGGCTAATTTTCATTTTTGGGTGAACTAACCCTTTAAGGGTTTTAATTGGTTTAGGCTTTAGCATTACATAATTTGCTCAGATGTAGCAGGTCAAGCTCTGCCGTTGGGTTTATTTTGTAATGATGATTGGTTGACTAGCTATACTAGTGTTATTACAAATTCACTAAAATAAAAAACCTAAAACAAAAATTATATATGTTAATTGAAGTAAATCTTAAATGAAAGATAGATAGATAGATAGATAGATAGATTTTGTGATAACAAGTGAAAAGCATTGGTTGTGAACTGACCTCCAGGTTAAGGTAAAGCTCCCCCAGAAACAGCACATAATAGTGAAACCTTTTCTGGGTCCCTGGATCTCCTCTCACGGCCTGCTCCCTCTGCTCAAACTGGGTTTGACACCTACACAGACACACAAAATGGAGTTTTGAGGATAAACAAAACTAACAAAAATGAGACTAAACGAAACTGAAAGTAAAGGCTTAGAAGGAAAAGGGAAGAAACTGTTGACTTTAAGAACCAAATGTCAAGCCACTTTTATGAAACACCCAGAAATGGGTACTTGGGCGTCACATTGCTAAACCTGAAATTTACCTCTGCAGCAGCAGCTGTCTGAAGTTACCGCTGGCTGGACTGAGACGGATGTGATGAGACAGATGGTTACAGAGCCGTGCACCCGTGTAGGCAAAGTTAGGGATAGACGTGGACTGTGGAAAACAAATGTGGGATGGTTTTCATTGCCTTCATCTTAATAACAACTGCTAAATGCATTATGTTTTGACCAGTACACAGATTAAAAATAGTACCATAGTAGTATTTTGCAAATTTCAGTTCTGCTATTTGGTTCAAAATTCAATACAGCACTGATGCATGATTTGATAATTAACCAGTAATTCACCAATTACAAAATTGACTTTTTAATATAATAATACTCAAGGTGTTATAGAGGACATCTCATGTTACATGCATGCTTTCGCAAGACAATGAGCATGCAAAACTTAAAAAAGCCACAATTTATGATTACAATTTAGCTTTCTGTGTCATTATTCATATTTCGGATTATTGACATTTGTGTGTGTCCACTTAAGGAATAAATAAATAAATAATATAGTAGTATGTATACATAATACTACTAAAAAATTAATAATAATAAATATATGGACTGTACATTGCATAGTTTATTAGACAGCTATAAATAAATACAGGATCAGATGGATATAAAATATTGACATATTTATGTAGTAAATTATTCATTTATATTAGTTATTAGACTGTATTCCAGAGAGCTGTGTAATAATCATAATTGCAGAAATAAGTGAAAAGAATCAAGTGTGAATCAATTGTGAATAAAAAACAAAAAACAATAATTAATCATTTTTATTAAATATATATTTTTAAATATATTCTTAAACCATTGCAGAACAAAATTGTACATTATAATATATAATATTTATGTTCTGCAATAGTTTAAATATATTTTTTAAATAGTTTTGACAGTGTGATTTAAAGGGATAGTTCACTCAAAAACATCATTAACTCACTTACATGTAATTTTAAAGTTCTGTTGTTTTCCATGTAAAAAAAAAAGACAAAACTTGAGGGTCAGTAAATAATGACTGGTGAACTATTCCTTTAAACAGGAAGTTCTCGTTGCATTTTGACAGGTTACCACACAGATCCATTATCAGAAACTCATTACAAATGCACCTGTACGTAGATGAGCTCTACCAGCTCCTGCAGAATCTCCTCTGTAGTGACGCAGCTGTTCAGCATATCCGTGATGTAATCGATTTCTGACTCGAAGGACCCCGGAGACGAGTTCAGATGGCTTACGAAATCCTGAACGAAATCAGCCAGTGAGGTCTCAGGGTAGTAATCTTCAGATCCATCGGAATACACGTCATCCTAAAAAGAGAGAACATTAGACTAATACCACGGTAAATTCACAGTGTTAAAAAGGAGCCACATAGACTCACCTGGAACGATGCATAATTGCCCGGGACAAACTCAGGTGCTGCGGCAGACAGTTTAGAGTTTTTCACAAGTGCATCTACAGCACTGCTGCTATTGTGTCCTGAAGGAATGGGGGATCTGCTCTCTGGAAGATGGAGTGATGAAGACTGGCATTAACGCTGAACATTTGTAGTCACTATACACTAATTCCCGTTTTGTGTTATTTCATAGTTTTGATGACTTTACTAGTATTCTAAAATATGTTAGAAACAGTAATAATAAAGAACAGCACACATTAGACTTGTAGTGTAGAGACAGAAGCAACCCGTCAAGATTACTTGACTTCTCCACTCAAATCTACGGTGGCCGAGAAGTGCAAAGTAAATCACAATTCTGAAAACAAAATAACAAATTACAAACGCAAATGCAAGTCTAAAAAACAAAATAACAATTCAGAAAGCACAACAACAATTCAGAAAACATTATAACAAGTCAGAAAACACAATGACAAATTCGAAAACAAAATAAGTCAGAAAACACAACGACAAATCAGACAAACCGGAAGAGGTAGGTATAGTTTGAGACAGCGCCATTGGTTTGGGATTACTCACCGCTGACTGGACGAGACATCTGTCAATCAACGTATACAGGGAAGAACCAGCCGAAGAACAGCAGAGTCGTGGTAGAAAGTTCGGAGATGGTATTAAAGTAGCTCAGTTTAAATGTATTGTATGAATTGCCCTAACTATGGAATAAAAAATACGAGTGGCGCAGATGGCTAAGCGCTTGTCGTTGGCTTTTTGACGCGATCGACCCGGGTTCGATCCTGCCTTTTGCCAAACTTTTTTTTCCTCCCTTTTCAAATCTCGTATCACATCGTAAAGGCATTTATTTTCAATAAAAATGAAGGAAATAATCAAAAAGTTGAAAATAAAATATCGGGTAGGGTTAGGGTAGGTGTAGGGACGGCTTTATTGTACCAATAAGGTGGCATCCATTTAATAATTAAAATTAAAATTATAATTTACACTCAATACGTTATTATTGCATACTGTTTTATAATGTACTACAATACTGAAGTGCAGATAATTGCCACTATTTGCAACAAGTAGTATACTTGATAGTAGAAATCCTGCTATTTTAACATAGTGTAAATAGGTATTTGCACTTAGTGTAAATAGCATATTGCTAAAAATACTGCTATTTTCACTTAGTGTAAATAGAATCCATTGCTAATACGAGATTTGAAAAGGAAGGAAAAAAAAGTTTGGCAAAAGGCGAGATCGAACCCGGGTCGATCGCGTCAAAAAGCCAACAACAAGCACTTATCCATCTGTGCCACTGGAGCTGATATTTTACAACTACTTTTAACTAAATGTAAATAGACACCCCGTATTTTTTATTCCATAGTAAGGGCAATTCATACAATACATTTAAACCGAGCTACTTTAATACCATCTCCGAACTTTCTACCACGACTCTGCTGTTCTTCGGCTGGTTCTTCCAGTATACGTTGATTGACAGATGTCTCGTCCAGTCAGCGGTGAGTAATCCCAAACCAATGGCGCTGTCTCAAACTATACCTACCTCTTCCGGTTTGTCTGATTTGTCGTTGTGTTTTCTGACTTGTTATTTTGTTTTCGAATTTGTCATTGTGTTTTCTGACTTGTTATAATGTTTTCTGAATTGTTGTTGTGCTTTCTGAATTGTTATTTTGTTTTTTAGACTTGCATTTGCGTTTGTAATTTGTTATTTTGTTTTCAGAATTGTGATTTGCTTTGCACTTCTCGGCCACCGTACAAATCACATGACAGATATGGTCAGATTAACAATCTCACCCACTAACTGATGGTGACCATTTAACTAGCTTTAAATCACGCATTCCAATAAAAGTAATACTGCAATAATCTTCATCACACAACAACAAATGTGTCTTCAAAAGTTTGTTAGATTTTTAACATAAAAGATCACAATCGATCAGAAGTAATTATTACAAGTCAAGTTAGTCAACTAATGACAAAATACCATAGACTGTATAAAAACATGGACGTAGTGTCCGTGACGTCACCCGTAGGTTCCTGAAGAGGTTTTTGAAGCTCAAAGTGGGCAGAGCTGGCCATCGCCATCTTGGCAGCGCGTCACCGCGCGTCACTCTCGGATAATCGAAAATGGGCAAAAAGGCGGGAGCTGGTTGCTGAAACCACGCCCACCTAGCTCGACGGTGGTGACAGCAGCGGCAATCCACCTGTCACTCAAGTGGCCACGCCCTTAATTATGCAGAACTTTAAGGCTTAATATAATTTAAACGGATGACTTATAAAAAAATTCACCCCCCTCACAGTTGTCATGAAGGGCAAAATTAGCTATATAGACCAAAACCACTTTTTGTACCAGGCTGTAAACACATTTTTTTCTGCTGTAAAGTTGGTTGAACCAGGATGTAAACATGTTTTTTTCTTCTGTAAAGTTGGGCATTTTAACATGGGGAGTCTATGGGATTGACTCCCTTTTGCAGCAAGCCTCTAGCGGCCAGTTGATGAATTACAGTTTAAGTCACTTCCTTGTTGGCATCGCGAGAGAGAGGGGGAGGTTGCCGCTTGCAAAATACATTAAAAAAACATCCAGATGTGGTGGAAACTATGGTTAAAATCTATTCCATCTATTCATTATCCATCCATCCATTCATTTCTGCATCCATCCATTCATGTATCTATCATCATCTATCTACTCATCCATCCATCTTTACATCCATATATCTATCCATCTATCATCCATCCATCTATTCATTCATGCATCTATCGACAAAATACATCTAAAATAGCCAGTTGTGGTGGAATCTATGGTTAAAATGGTTGATGTGCTTTGTACTCTCTCCATCCATCAATTCACACATCTATCTATCCATTCATGCATCTATCTATCCATTTATCCATCCATCTCTGCATCTATCCATCTATCATTCATCCATCCATCCATCTTTACATCCATGGATCTATCCATTCATGCATCTATCTATCTATCTATCCATCCATCCATCTAATGACAAAATACATCTAAAATATGATGTGGTGGAAACTATGGTTAAAAAGGTTTATATGCTTTGTACTCTATCCCATCATTCATCTGTCTGTCCATTCATGCATCAATCCATCCATCTTTGCATCTATCTATCTATCTATCTGTTGTGCTGTCTGTTTATCTCTAGCTGCCTATATATCTATAATCAACTTCACAGAAATGCTAAAAATAAGCTTTACACTGTCAAAGCATTAGTAACTTCATATATTTACACATAAACATGGACCACCCATATATACAGTACTGTGCAAAAGTCTTAGGCCATTAGTATTTTCATCAACAAAAAATGGTTTTAAGCCAGCTATTTATATATTTTGCTGTAGTTTGTCAGTAGGAAATAACATTTACATTTAGACATTTAGCAGACGCTTTTATCCAAAGCGACTTACAAATGAGGACAATAATAATAATTAATAATTATGTAAATAACAGTTTACATTTCCAAACATTCCTTTTCAGGGCTCGACAGTGCAAGCATTTCACTCGCATTTGTGACTAAAAATAGATGTGTGTGAACTGGAAAATGTATTTAGGAGCATGAGTGCGAATAAAATTTGTTTTGCCATTAATTGTAATAATCCAGTAAGATTTTTGTATGCACAAGGAGTCTGACAACAGCCAGTGCTCCACACAGAGATCAGATCTCACCATCATCCAGTCTGTCTGTCTGTTGGAGACATTGCCACAGTTTTTCTGGATTTAGTCTGCCTCAGTTTTTTCTGGTTCTTCATGTAACCCCAGATGGACTGGATGATGATTAGAACAGATCTCTGTGTGGAGCACTAGCTGTTGTCAGACTCCTTGTGCAGACAAAAATCTCACTGGATTGTTACAATTAATGGCAAAAGGAATGTTAACTGATATTTCCTACTGGCACACTACTGCAAAAGATAGAAATAACTGACATAAAACCATTTTTTGTTGGTGAAAATACTAATGGCCTAAGACTTTTGCACAGTACTGTATGTTCTACTGGCATTGTTAAAAATCAGCTTTCCTTTACCCAAGTATTAGCATATATCTCTATATTATATGCATACATGCATACGAACAAATATATTTACACACATATAAACATATACGCATATCGTGATAACTTGCATCTAAACAGTGACTAGCATTAACTGTCATCGACTGAAGTCACTCCTCCGCAGGGTAATTAACCCAAATGTTCTGCTTTTTATAACCGAGGGGGTTCCAAATGGAGGACTAGACAAAAAGGCTAAGAATTGTGTGTGTATATCCCCCCTCAAAGGCCTCGGACAACATTAGCTACTTCGCAGAAACAGTTATTAGCGGACTAGCATGTGAGCTAGCACCGAACGCTACTTCACCTGCGCCGCCGTCGGACGCCGGAGGAGTCGTGCGCGGCTGTCTGAGCGGCTCGCCCGGGCTGAACAGTGCACTTTTCATGTCTCCAGCCTCAGATGAGGAAGAGGAGGAGGACGGTGTGCTGCTGCTGCCGTTGTTGTTGTACATGATCTTCTTCTCGCTGATCTCGCCCGTCCGGTCTCGACTGTCCGCCGTCAGACGCGAATAAACACACGGATCCGATCTCAGTGGGCCGCTGAACACTAACGTTACACAGACAGCTTCACGCTACAGTCTGCTTCTCACTTTCATGTTTACTATTTCTGTTTCTGGCATCTGTCCCCTCTGTAGAGCGCTAATCACTTCCTCAGTAATTCTCCAGAAATAGTAGTTGATCAGAAGAGCGCCATCTATTGGAAGTGAGGAAATGTTGCAGTAAATCATGGCTTCTCAAACAGATGTGGGATATTTTAAGCTTTACTCTGACAGAAATTTGGCATGGAAACTATAGTTTCCGCCGAAAATACCACAGATATTACAGTTATGTATTTTACATGAATAGGGTACAAAATAGGTTTAAAAAAAAAATAAAAATTATTTTTCAAAAGGTCAGTGAAAAGTTGCTTAATCTTGATTTTATGAGGCGTATCATTTTTTACAGCATGTCGGGAACTTGTTTGGACGTAAATACAATTTAAAACTTTGAGTTTGATTTGTGTGATTTTTATTTTATTTTAATTTTTTTTAGAAATAAACATCAAAATTAAACAAGTTTGTAAAATTTTACACTAAGTATGGTACAGAGTAACAAGATTGCAGATGATCTAGAGTCTAGACTGAACTATTACTCATCTAGTTTAGTGCTAAATTATGTTTTGAAGCAGTTTTTTACTGTTATTTATTAATATTAATTTCTAAATGTTATTTTTTTTGGTTTTCCTTTTTAGTTTAATTAATATTTTATTTGCTTGCCATTTTTATTATTTTTAATAGTTCTATTTACCTTTATTTTTAAATCAGTGTTTAAATCAGTTTATTTTTTAATTTACATATTTTTGATTTCAGATTACAATTATCGAAAATTATTTAAAATGTAAAATATTTTTAGCTAACAAAAGTTTATTTATTTACTGATAAATATGCATGTCTCATAGATTAAAAACTGAGCATGATGTTTGACGCTGGCAAATTGATTTAACACTACAATGCATGTTAGAACTGATAAAATGGAACAAAATTATTTCCATAATGCTGTAGAAAGGGTTCAAATTTTTCATTAATGTTAATGAATTCATTTTTAATGCAAAATCATGTGGTAACAAAGGTGCACACAAAATGTTGGATACAGCTAAATATAATATTGATCGTTAAAATTTATTAAAATTTTTTCATTTGTTAATTCAACAGTAATGATGATACTGTTAAGGTTGAGAAGGACAAGACCATTTTAAGAGGGAGTAAAATACAAATATTTGATATTTAAATCTACTTTTTATGTTAAAGAAGTTCAATGCTTTATGCTTTATAACTCATGGCAAACAAAAGTTTTTAAGTGCATTACCGCCACCTGTCTCTCAAATGGCCTATTGACACTCTATCTACAATCTCAATTAGGAGTGTCAGTGATCCATTTGAGAGATAGGTGGCGGTAATGTACTTAAAAGTCTGCGATCCACCGTAAAGCAAGAAGAAGAAGACGCGTCTGAGAACGCGCTCAGGACAGTTTGGACATTGCGGTATAAAATGCCTTTTAGTATTTCTTCTATTGCTTTAAAAAAAATAATATCATGCAAGTAATCACAAACAGGCAAATAATGCAGATATTTCTCTCTTCACATTTGCTGATTTCTCTGAACAGAACAGGTGATCTTGAAAGAAGCAAATTTCTGAAGGCCAGGCCCAGAGTTTGGGCTGCACAGGACAAACAGCAACCTGTAGTGAGTTCTGTATTCAGTTACATCATATTGTCCAATTATTTCCCATCAACTTCCTGCTGTCCTCCTTTCTTTTTCTTCTTCTGTTGTTGCTGCTGTGTTTTGGCTTTTTTAGTGGCTGGCTGATTTCGTGTCTCTTCTCCTTCTCCTCCCTGCGGTTTCCTCTTGTTTTTCTTCTTGTTCTTCTTCTTTCCCTCCTCTCCGGACGCTCCTCCAGCAGTTTCTGTGGAGGCTGGCGTCTCTTTTCCCTCCAGTACCGTAGGCTTCTTACGGTTCTTGCGTTTCTTCGTCTCAGGAAGGAACCCCTTCTTCTTCTTCTTCTTTGTGGTTTCTTCTGTCTGCTCTGCCTCTACAACTTTCTTCACCTTTTCCATCTTTGGCTTTCTAAAATAAAGCAAAGGAAGAGAGACATTGAAGACAGGTTGATTATCAGTTACACTTGCTGGAAATGGTTTAATACTCTAAAGAAAAATATTTAAATATGAAAGGTATTCCACATATTTCATTATTATTGATGGACACGAACCAAAAGATGATTATGATGATGAGTCTCACATAATAAAACATAAAACTGATAATAATTAGAAATGTTTCTTGAGCAGCAAATCAGCAAATTATGATGATTTCTGAAGGATCATGTGACACTGAAGACTGGTGTAATGATGCTGAAAATTCACTTTTGCATCCCAGGAATAAATTACATTTTAAAATGTATTCAAACAGAAAACGGTTATTTCAAATTGCAATAATATTTCACAATATTTACTGTATTTTAGATCAAATAAATACAGCCTTGGTGAGCATGAGAGACTTCTTTCCAAACGTTTGAATGGTAGTTAAGCATTTACATACACATTTAAAATTATAATCAAAATAGATTTGCATAACGTGACTCACAAAATGCCAAATAACTTCATCACGCTCCAGTATGTGTCCTCCAGCTGTCCTGGTTTCTGCAGGCTTCCTTCAGCGTTCATGGACTTGAGGACTTTCTGAAGGAGCTCCAGATTAACCTGCATCTTCTGCTCAGACAGAAACAAAGTGGGTTTTTAACACTCACACTTGAGAATACCTTGTAAAAGCAGAAGATTTAGGAAAAACATTTATTCATTACCTGACTGTGAACGGTTCTGACAAGATGCTGACAGAGCTCTAGTGCCTTGACTATCTTCTCACGAACCGTTTTATTCTTACACTCTACATCTTCAAAACTCTGGAAGAAAGGGATATATTTTAGGATATTATATAGATATTGTGTGTGTATATCAATATTATATATATATATATATATATAGAGAGAGAGAGAGAGAGAGAGATTATATGCATTATATTGATATTGTATACATGAATGTAAAAGGGGATATATATTATTATATTATATTAATATTGTGTTTGTGTATATTTGTATATTATTTTACTTTGATATTTTAAATACAGAATGCCATCAGATTGGCAAGATATTAATGTAAAGTGAATGTAAACATAATACTGAAGCAATTATTGTAATGTATTAATTAAAGATTATTATTTATTAATTATTGTTTAAACAAGTACCTTATTTTGCATTACTAAAAAATAACAAAATAAAAAAATGTGTATCAATATTAATAATATTTGCAAATGATTTTCATTGGAATTGGTGCCAACTACTGAAATTGTGGTCTTCCTGTTGAAATGAGCTGTTCCAAAACTTTGCATTTTGAGACGATCGAGCTAAGAAAGTGTGGTTTCAACAATGTAAATCATGAAAAGTCTACCTTGGCAAGTTGGTCCACAATTTTCTGATGCAGCTCAGTTCTCTGGGCATCAGACATCAGGTTTTTTACATCTTTAGACTGCAGGGCCCTGAGCGCCACGACACATGCCTGACCCTGAAACAACCAGATAAAAAAAAAAAACACACTTAAGACAGTACATTATAATTCAAGTATCCAGTTACCGATCATCCAAAATATTCATGAGCTGCTCCAATACACTATAATATAGATGGATCAGCTTGGTTTACCTGCTGATGTTCCCTCACTCCAGCAGTGATGTTCTCCACCGCCGTGTCCAACAGGTTCACACACAACACCTTCAAACACAACACAAATGGACCAATTATGACCCATTAACAGCTTTCAGGAAGTGGAGACTACATCTTTTACATTTTCAAGAAAATCTGAGTGGTGTTTTCCTGTGCAAGACTCATCGCTGCACACTAGGACATTGATTTGTGGTTTAATCAACATTACTAATGCTTTGACCAATTGTCTAATCAATTATGAGTAATAGTGACGTTGACCTTATCAAACCTCACAAATAACAAGCTGTCTACCTTATATAGGGATGAATGACTAATCAAATGAAATAAAGTCATGATATAGCTTAGTGTGATTATCAAATCGTAAAAGCTATTACATATTTTATTATTATATTATTATTAATTACTAGTGCTGTCAAACGATTAATCGTGATTAATCGCATCCAAAATAAATGTTTTTGTTTACATAATATATGTGTGTGTACTGTGTATATTTATTATGTATATATAAATTCACGCATATACAGTATATATTTTGAAAATATTTACCCGTTTTTATATGTGTATATTTATATTATAAATTTAGTACATAAACATAACACATTTCTCGTTAAATATATCCGTGTATGTGTGTGTATTTATATATACATAATAAATATACACAGTATACACACATATATTACGTAAACAAAAACTTTTATTTTGGATGCGAATAATCGCGATTAATCGTTTGACAGCACTATTAAATACTATTAAATATTTAATTTTACAGTGAAATGCTACTATTATATTAGTACTACTCCGATTTTGTAAAATTTTTTTAATAATAATAATAATAATAACAATAATAAATATAGCTGCAAGCAGCAATTACCGGGGTTCAAGCACTTTAAGGCGTTCTTGGT